CATTTTTAATGTCTACATGTGATAACATGTGGGGTTTTTCTCTTACTGTGTCTGGCTTATCATTAACATAATGTCCTCCAAGGTTGTCATGTTGCTTTGAGTGACAGGATTTCATTCTTTTTAATGACTAAATATATATATTACATTTTCTTTATTTGCCTACTGATGGCCACTTAAGTTGATTTCATATACTGGTCATTGCGAATAGTGCTGATGGTATAGAGTGTAGATATACCTACAACATATTGATATTCTTTCCTTTGAATATAAGCCTAGTAGCTGAATTGCTAGATCATATAGCAGTTCTATTTTTAGTTTTTAGAGGAATCTCCAGACTGTTCTCCATAATGACTGTCCTAATTTACATTCACACTGTAAATGTAAGAGTATAAAAGAGTTATCCTTTCCCCTTATCCTTGACAGCATTGTTATTTTTTGTCTTTTTGGCAATTGTCCATTCTAATTAAACGAAATTATGGTTTTGTGGTTTTGATTTGCATTTCTCTGATTATTGGTGATGCTGAGCATCTTTTTTATTTTAAAGAGATTTTTGCTATAGAGTCTGTGCACTCACCAGAGAGACATAGCAAGATGGAGAGAAAATGAGAAATCACCCCCCCCCAGGGGGGATTGCCATGCTGCAATCCCTTCTCCTACATTCTCCTTGAGATTTTGAGCACACATGCACACATGCCCAGTGTGAGTTTCAAGCTGCTAGGTCTGGGGCTTGAACCACAGTCGGCCATTTGGGAGTCCAGCACCTTAACCACTGTGCCACCTGCTAGTCCCGAGCAATTTTTTTCATATGCTACAAATGTAGGTTTTTGTTTTTTTTTTTTTTTTAAGAGAGATTTTTGCTATAGGGTGCATGTGCTCTCTGGAGAAACAGAGAAACAGAAAGTGAGAAATCACCCTCAGAGGGGATGGCCATGCTACAGTCCTTTCTCCTCCATTCTCCTCTTGGAATCTTGGGCACACACACATGCACTGGAGTTGAGTTTTAAGCCACCGGGTCCAGGACCTGAACTGTGGTTGACTATGTGGGAGTCCAACAACATAACCATGCAGGTCATTTGCTCATTTTAAATCAGATATTTTTTGGTTTGGTTTCTATTTTCTTACTGTTGAATCATTTGAGTTTCTTGTATATTCTGATTATTAATCTCTTGTCAGATGTACAGTTCACAAATATTTTTCCATCCCTTAGGTTGTCTCTTCACTTTGTTGATGTTTTCTTTGCAGTGCAGAAGGTTTTAGTTTGATATAATACCATTTGTTTATTTTGCTCTTGTGTTTTTGAGGCCTTATCCAAATTCTTTACCCAGACTAGTGTCCTGAAGGATTTTCCTTATGTTTTCTTCTAGTAGCTTCATAGTTGGGGCCTTAAGTTTAATCTTTAATCCATTTTGAATTGATTTTTATATAAGATGAGAGAAAGTGGTCTAGTTTCACTTTTCTGTATATGGGTATTCAATTTTCCCAGCACCATTCATTTAACTTGTAGGGTTTCAGTGGTTCTAAGTTTAAAGGGGATTCTTTTATGTGTGACTTGACTTCTTTCTGTTTTTAGAATCTCTGACTTTTTTTGAAAGAGATTTTTGCTATAGGGCATGTGTGCTTGCCAGAAAGACAGAGACAGAGAGACAAAAAGTGAGAAATCACCTCCAGGAAGGATGGCCATGACACAATACCTTCTCATCCACTTTTCTCTTGGGATTTTGGGCACGCACACACATGTGCCTAGTGTGAGGTTTTTTTTTTTTTTTTGAGAGGTTTTTGCCATAGGGTGCGTGCGCTCACCAGAGAGACAGTGAGAGACAGAGAGATAGAAAGCGAGAAATCACCCCCCAGGGGGGATGGCCATGCCACAATCCCTTCTCCTCCATTCTCCTCTCAGGATCTTGGGCACGCACACACACACGCCTGGCACCTAGTGTGAGTTTTAAGCTACCAGATCCAGGACTCCAAACTCAGCCAACTACATGGGAGTACAACAATGTAACTATTATGCCATCTGCTGGGCCCTCTTTTTGACTTTTGACAGTTTGACTATGATATGCCTCGGAGATGGCCTTTTTATATTGAATTTATCTGGAGACCTTTAAGCTTTTCTCACTCTGAATGTCCATATCTTTTTCAATAATTGGGAAGTTTTCTGCTATTATTTTATCAAACAGGTTTCCTTTCCTTTTCTTTTCTTTGCTAAAGGATTCTTGCCAGAGAAAGACAAGAGACAGAGAAGAGAAAGCACCTCCTTCTCCATCTCTCTCTCCCTTTAGGATTTTAGGCTTGCACACACATGCACCTGGCATGTTTGTCAAGCCACTGAGTCCAGGACTCAAACGGCGAGCAGGGCATGTAGATCTGGCTGCCTTAATTACCAGGCCATGGAGCAGCCCTGTTAAGCAGGTTTTCTATACTTTTTCTTCTCTCTTCTTCTGATACTCCTATAAAGTGAATATTTGTACACTTAATGGTATTCCATTAGCCTTATAGGTTTTCTTTGTTCTTTTTTATTCTTTATCTTGTCTGGTTGTGTTATTTCAAATGACATCTTTAAGCTCAGAGATTCAGCCCTTGGTTGGCTGGGGACTGGGCCATCAGACTTTCTTAGTTTGTTTTAGGTGGCAGGGCCACAACTAGCACTTGCGTGTTACTGGACACAGAGCTTCCAGAATTCTTCTGTGAGCCCCAGTGGGTGGAGCCAACTACTGGTACTGCTGTGCTAGGTACAAGGCTGCCAGCTTGCTTCTGTGTGTCCTAAATGGGTAGGGCTGCTTTTAGTACTGATGTGAGGCTGAGAATGGGCCTGCTGATTATGGCTTCTTTCTTAGATTGTTAAACATGGTTCATTTCCTCTATTTTATGAGATTTTCAGTGGTTTTATTTGTTTGCTTGCTCAATTGTTTGATTTTATGGTCATTATAAAATAATGCCATAGTAAACATAGAAAGCATGTTAATATTTTTCCTCTTCAAAATACATTACTATGCCAAAATGTTTTAGTTTTATTCAGGTCATGATTTAAATGATAAATCATTTCACTACTGCACATTCATTTTGAAAAGATTTTTTTTTACTATACTTATGAAAAATAGACTTAAAAGCTGCTAAAAGAAAGAAAGCTGAGATGTTTCTCTCTGCAGCACTATTAATTCAATACTCTATGAAAGAGATTATTATCCCTTCCATTACAACAACAGCAAAATGCTGGTAAAAATATAACTGAATTCAGGCTGATGACATAGACTTTTGCTTTGTAAATGGGGAGTAACTTCCCAGCCATAAAACTTACAAGTCAAATATTTAGAAAAATTCTACAATCTATAAAAGTAAAATTAACAGAGGTAAACAAAACAAATAAAGTCCCCAAATATTGTTTTGTATTTTTACTCATAAACATAAATAGTTGTGCACTTTCATAATTTAAAGCAATATGAATGCAGTGCAAGTAAATTTTACACATCTTGCAATTAGTAATTATTCTGAAGATATTTTATATTTGCATACTGGTAAGATATCACAGTTTTTAAGTTTCTTTTTCAATAAAAATCTATGGTCTAATGAATATGATCATCAAAGAGCAAAGGGACCCTACTGATAACACAAATAAATTTAAGACATAACATTCTGAAATTAGAATCTAAAAATATCAAATGTTCTCATTATTCATAAGCTGGGTTTTATTTTCTATGCTATCATTCTTTGTCTTGGTTTAAATTAAGATTTGTAATTGAGGCACTGAACATGGGCTATATGAGCTTGTGCAAATTAAACATTAAGTTATACATGGGAATTAGCTTTGTAAACCACAACTACAGGGAACGTCTATATAAATGTTTAAAAAACACTCACTCCTTATCTTGTATATGAAAAGCAGATTTTCAAATAGGCTAATTTTTAAAATCCAAGAGTTTTCTCTTTTACAAACAATAAACTTAATAATTTATGTTATGAATTTATTTTTCCTTCACAGAAAACAATAAAAATGATCAAACTGATAAAAATAATTGTGTTTAGGGCTTTTATTAGTGATACAAACAGGGGACATAGATCTTTGTCTTTGGAAATAAAATATAAGTCTCCAGATGGCAAATCACTGTGAATTTGTTCACAATATGGATGAAGAATGTTGCCAGAAAGTAATCTGCAAAAAATCAAAAGCGTTTGTACCAGAAATGTTTGGAAAAAATGGTTAGAATGTCATCAAGTATATGAACTTTGTGGGATTATCTGGAAAAAATACTTAAAACCTGATAGGTTTTTCTCTGTCACCTAGTTAACTTTGTGCTTTCCTGACTCTCACTATAAATTCTTTTAAAAATGCTACTAACTTCAGTATTACTATACACAATATATTGTGTGACTGTGCTTTAAAAAACAGTGTAATTCAGAGCCGGCAGGAGGTGTGCTGATAAAGGCACTGGACTCCCACATGGCTGATTATGGTCCTAGTACTGGACCTGGTGTCTTGCTTTCTCTCTCTCTCTCTCCAAACTAAATAATAATAATAAGAAGAAACAAAAAGAAATAATTCTTTTAAAACAAAATAGCGTAAGCAATTCCAGGGTTATATACAAATAAATAGTAACCATTTTAAAAAGTTTTTATTTATCTATTTCTTCTATGACAGGGAGAGATAGAGAAACAGAGAAATGGTACTTCAATAGGGTCCTAATGCTACAATCAGCCCCCAGCCTTGGCCAGCCTGGATCATGGGCACACACGCACCTGGCGTGCACAGGGGATACCAGACTGCCAATTTAGAACCTTCTGCTCTGGGTCCAGCATTACAGAGCACAGAACTGTTGCTGTGCCACCATCTGGTCCCTAAATGGTCACCATTCTTTATGTCGTTGTGTTCTATTATTCATACAGACAATGAAGAGGTGTGTTTTTAGTTTGCTTATGTACGCCTATTGTGCTAAGTCAATTCCAGGTTGCAAAATTTTCCAATTTTCAGTTAACAGAATTCATAGTTCTATTTTTATGAATTGCAGGTGGTTTTCATGAGTCTATGCAAAAGTTTTTGGGACTGTGGCCTTGTAGCCCTGGATGATATTACCATACAATTGGGAAGCTGCTGGTCTCCAGGTAAAACAGCAGTCATTTCAGCTTGCTTTTTCTCCTGGCCTATACATGACACTTCCTCTATTTCTCTAAAAATTCTCAATACATACATTTCATCTGTTCTAGTTCATCCTTGCTTTTCTTGACAGAAGTATCTCTCTGCAGAGCTATGTAGTAGGCTTAAGAATTTAGGAATGATGACTCAAATATAACATATATTTTCATATATGTGACTTAACCTCTTAATCATCATTAGTAAGGGAGATTACTACCTACCTGAGTTTGGGGGATAATACATACATTCCCCAGAATAGGACCTGACATATAACAATGCTTTAAAAACAAATATCTCCTATTATAATCATTAGTCTTATTATTGTTGTTGGATTCTTACATGAATACAAATTTTTAAGCAATGTTGATAGCATAGGTAATTGTTAAACACATAATTTTATATTTTTAACAAAATAAATATTTTCTTTTTTTTTTTTTTTTTTTTGGAGATGTTTTTGTTATAAGGCATGTACACTCACCAGAAAGACAGAGAGTGACAGAGAGACAAAAAGTAGAAATCACCCCCCAGGGGGCATTGCCATACCACAATCCTTTCTCCTCCATTCTCCTCTCAATATCTTGGGCACGTATGCACACACACACACTCAGCGTGAGTTTAAGCCATTGTGTCTGATACTTGAACCGCAGTCACCTACATGGGAGTCCAGCAACATAGCCATTATGACATTTTTGAGAGAAAATAAATATTTTCCAAGTGAATTAAATGACCATGGAATGATAGACCAAGCATTGATGATGGTGACAAACTAAAGCTGAGGTTCCTAGCTGTGTGTTGGACTTTATAGCTAATAAAAAGTGGTGCATTCCATTATAGGCCCAGATCACTGGTCTGTATCTACTAATTACCATTGTATCCTAAATGATGTAGTATCCATTTCTTAAATAAACACACAAATTGTGATATCAATCTGGCACTGGAGAATAATCTCCATGTTTATTTAGTTAAGAGACAATTGGTTTCTAGTCCCTCAACTTATGAGACACTGCAAGAACAATATAGTTAAAATTGTCTACACTCAAGCATACAAGAGGGAAGCTGGTACATTAGCCACTACTACATGTAAAAAAAAAAAATGAAGTAAAGTAATTATCACAAATAAGACATAAAAGACAGGCTATTTATTAGAAAAAATTTGCTAAGAATCTGAGTGTAGAGAAGTAAAAACCAAGTTTAGTCAGAGGAAAAGTTCCCAGTAAGTTTAGATGTAGCATCATTGCAAAATAGCAATATTTTTAAAATTATTTTCAAATTTAATTTATTATTTTATTTAGGTTTGCTATAGGGCACATGCACTTACCAGAGAGAGCCAAAGAAAGGCAGAGAGTGAGATAGCAAGTCACCAGGTCTGGGACTCAAAATGTGGTCAGCCATGTGGGAGTCTAACACCTTAAACACCTACTGGCTTCCAAACAGTAATTATTACAATCACTAAAAACAGCATTAAAAGACATACCATTTGTCTTCCAAAATGGAAAACAAGGCTCTAGGTGGAAAAACAGGTTCTAACATTTATTTTACTAATAATTATTGAGAACTTCATGTTGTAAATATTGGGTCATTAGAAAAGTCATGATAGGGGCCAACAGATGGCATAATGATTACATTGCTAGACTCCCACATAGTTGACTGAGGTTTGAGTCCCAGATCTGGTGACTTAAAATTCATGCCAGGCATGTGTATGTATATGCCCAAGATCCCAAGAGAAGGGAGGAAAAACAACTGTGCTGTGGCCATCCCCCTGAGTGGTGATTTCTCACTTACTGTCTCTCTCTTCTCTGGTGAGTGCACAGCCCTATAGCAAAAATCTCTCTCTAAAAAAACAGAAAAGTCATGACGTAGTTTTCCTTTGCAAAAATGTGTCACGACTTTTCCAACGACTCAATAGCTAATATGCTCATCTCATTTAATAATCATAAATCCATGAATTAAGAACTATCAATATTCCCACACTACAGATAAGAATACTGAGACACAGAGCAATTAAGGCATTTACTCCACACAGCTATGTCTCCAGAAGCACACTTAGTTTCTCACACCCTTCCTTCCCTCCAAAGCAACTGCCGAGTTGTGATAAAAATACCTTTTACTTATCCTGGATTTCTGAAGAAAGTTCCTAAATTATGCAATCAAATTATTGTCCATATTTTCATAAAGCCAATATACCTCCAATTTTCAGAGATTTGTAAGCTCATTCATAGAAGTAAATTCTCAAGTCAGAGAATGTTTCTTTTTCAAAGTATCCCAATAATTTAGATATAGAGTTCTGATTGTTCTCTGCCTCTGTACAAGACCCAGGAAGAGTAGACTTTAGTAGGAGGCAAGAGCTTGGTATAGGTGGCTGCTGGTAGGGGCTGCCTCTCCAGACACGTGGCACATGGCCAGACAACACACATATCCAGAGAATGAGCTATCGGGGAGCTGTGGAATACATATTCATTGAAAGTGTCTCAGCAATTGCAACACCTGCTGTTTCCTTGCAGAGAAACTTCCATCCCCACCTGGAGAGTGTACTTTCGAACAAGATGAATGTGCATTTACTCAGGAGAAAAGAAATCGGAGCAGTTGGCACAGAAGGAGGGGAGAAACGCCCACCTCCTATACAGGACCAAAGGGAGATCACACTACTGGGGTAGGTGAGTTATGCCACATGGTGCTGTTTCCTAAGGACTTTCTAAAACACCATTCTAGGGGGCAGCTGGGATTTCAAAGAAAGAAGTACTAAATGCCAGAGTGACCAGTCCAAAGCATTGATTCAGGGTGGGCTTACTTAAAGGGTGGGCTGTAGCATCCTTATGACATATAGGAAGAAAGAATATTCTACTTAGGTATTTTTGTTTTAGTTTTTTTTTCTTTTTTTCTTTTTTTGGAGAAGTTTTTGCTATAGGACACATGCACTTGCCAGAAAGAGAGAGACAGAGAAATAGAAAGCGAGAAATCACCCCCCAGGGGGGATGGCCATGCCTCAATCCCTTCTCCTTCATTCTCCTCTCGGGATCTTGGGCACGCATGCACACGTACCTGGCATGAGTTTAAGCCGCCGGGTCCAGGACTCAAACCACGGTCAACTACATGGGAGTCCAGCAACATAGCCATTACATTAACTGCTGGTCCCCCTACTTAAGTATTTCCAGAGTTAGGATATAGAGTTTATATAAGAATTTGAGGCCAGACTTGGAGCCAGGGCTAGTTTATTTTAGTTTTCGGTAACAACCTGAACAACTTTATGAGTGCCTGTGAGTTCAAGACCCTAGTTTGGACTCAAGGCTGCAGGGAAATATATAGAGCTCAGCATGTCATAGAGCAATCAGGGTACTCTGTGTTTCACAGCACAAGAAAAAGGCAGGGGAATCTGAGGACCCTACACCATGCCAGTGTAGTTATTTATAACTACTTAATTTTTCTATGTTTAATTCCATCTTATCTTTCCAACTGTCATATAAATAACTTGAGGACAGGTCTTTGAATTCTATGTTAGGTAGCTGGGGCTACCATAGCAAAATACTACGGACTGGGTGGTTTAAACAATAGAAATTTCTTTTCTAACAGTTCTGGAGGCTACAAGTCCAAAATTAAGCTGTGAGCAGAGTTGGTTCCTTCTGAAATATCTCTCCTTTGATTACAAATGGCCTTTTTGTTGATGGGTCCTCATATGACCTTTCCTCTTTGCCAATGCACAGAGACTAGGTGTCTCTTTTCTTCCCCTTCACCTTTTTTTTTTTAAAAAAAAAATTGGCAGAGAGTACATGTATTCACCAGCAAGAGAGAGAGAAAAACCACCCTCGCCCACTGGAACATGGTCACACCACTCTACCTCCTCCTTCATTTCTCGATGCTGTCAGGATTTAGGTCATGCATGCATATGGACCTGGCATGTTTTTCAAGCTAATGGTGCTGGGATTCAAACCATGATTGTTCATGAAGGATCAGGCTCCCTAAACCACTGGGCCTTGGAGCTGGCCTGCTACTATCTCTTTTCTAATAAGGATACCAGTCATACTGAATTAGGGACCCTGAACTCAACTTATTTATCACTATAAAGGTCCTATCCCCAAATATAGTCACAGTCTGAGGTGCTGGGTTAGGGCATCAGCATATGTATCCTGGAGAGACACAATTCACCCCCTAGCAGTCTCTCTTCCAGGATTTATGGTGATGGGCTGAACACTGAAGGAATGGGTAAACTCTATATTTTTAGACAGAGAGATTTTTGCTATAGGGCATGTGTGCTCTCCAGAGAGAAAGGGAGAGACAGAGAGACAGGAAGCAAGAAATCACCCCCAGGAGGGCTGACCACCCTGCAATCCTTTCTCTTTCATTCTCCCCTTGAGATTTTGGGCACACATGCCCATGTGCTCAGCCTGAGTTTTAAGGTGCTGAGTACAGGACTCGAACCACAGTCGACTACATGGGAGTCCAGCAATGTAAACATTACGTAATCTGCTTGTCCCAGGAATAGGTTTAACTTTTAAGTTTAATGGCTCACAACCTAGTCCTTGTCCTGCTCCTCACTACTCTATGCTAAAATACCTTTAATAGACTGAGCTTGTCTGACTTAAAGACCATATTCTACCTCCTCCCCATATAACAAAATCTATGAAATCTAACAAAAACATATGCAGCAGATATTTAATTACTCATAATTTTGCTCCTTTATTTATATCATGCCTGGTTTATGGGAATAAATGTTAGCTAACTTGGGGTGTATCTTGGCTTAAAGAAAACAATATGTTTGTGTTTGCTGTGTTACCTTGAAATCTTAGAAGGATATTTCTGCTGGCGGGATGAAACTTCACTGCAAAAATTGAATGCAAAAACTTCATAGGGTGTCCAATATTTATTCTGAGTGAATACTTGATGCATTAAATAAAATTCTCTGGTGCAAAACACAGAGAAATCTGATTTCTCTAAAGTAAATTACATCTACGGTATGCCTTCTTTATTCTTTATTTCACCTGCTTCACTACAAATTTTCAAAAGATTCTCAAGACACCTTCCAGTTTAACTAAATAAAATATTTTATAGGTATCTTTTTATTCCCATGCTTAACAATACAAATGAGAAAACAAATTTTGCCACGCTGTTACCGGGCGGGGTACCTATAGATAGAGCATTGAGTTGAAGGTGTTTTGTTCTTAAAATTACTTTAAGGAAAATATTATCGGTAGTGATCATTTATTGAACATTTACCACGTACAGACACTATGCTGGAAGCCTTTACATCCTTACCACTACCTGTAAAATAAGTGAAAGTTCCTATTTTTTAGATGAGGACACTAAAATCCAGGGAAGGAAAGTGCCTTTCCAGAACCACACTGTAGTAACTAGTAGAGTCGGGACTGCATCTCAGATGTGTCTGGCTCTGATGGCCATATTCTTTTCATACTGCCTCACCAAGGTTTCCAAGCCTACACGTGCCCAGCTTGAGTTTTAAGTTGCCACATTGGGACTCAAATCACGGCTGACTGTGGGAGTCCAGCGACATAATCGTTACGCCATCTGCTGGTCCTTAAAAATTTATTATTGACTTGGCCACTGTTATGTCCAGCTGGTTACTTAATCTTATCAACATCTAAGAAGTCATGATGAAATATGTCTCAGGACCATCATCCCAGAGAGGAAAGGGAGAAGCATTTGTTTATACACTCCCTATCACCCACCGGCAAGAGAGAGGTATCCACTCAGCAGCGACTACCCACTCTCCCCTTATTTCTGGGTTGTGTTTGCATGGATGCTGAGTGACTGTGCAAAGGCCCAAACCAGTAATAATTGGAGAAGCCTCAGCATTGAAGACAGGTGGCAACAGATACTTGACATGGACTTAGATAAGGCACTGCATCTGAGTGAAGTTGGTCAAAGACTTTATAGAGGTAGTTGTAGCGGTAGTGACTAAAATAAGAGACAGATGAGGCTGAGAAGCCTACAGTAGTGCCTAGAAGGCATCTGATATAGGTGCATCTAGGAGAGTGGTGAAGGCAACACTGAACAGTCAGAAGAGAACCAGATCACAGAGCACCTCATCCGCAGGGTAAGGAATCTGCATATTCACCCTATATGGAACAGGCATCCATTGAGAGACTTTAAATTGGTGACCCAGATGCATGAAAAAATGGACCTGGTAGCTTTCCCAACAAGGCACCATAATGGCCACAACTTTTTTGGTTATCCCCCTTATGAGCGTTACTTCCAACCCTATCTTCAACATCTGCCTGCGTGGTGACAATGGTCTGGATTGGTCTGGATAAATGAAAAGCAGTTCCTCACCAGAAAAAAGGCTTAGAACCCTTTTTTAGTGCCTCCCTCCTAAAGACAAGGACAGACAGAGGCGAGTGTGGAACAAGAACCAAGACTTAAACATGGGTCTCTCTTTTTTTTGGAGAGGTTTTTGCTATAGGGCACGTGCACTCGCCGGTCAGACAGAGAGACACAGAGACAGAAAGTGAGAAGTCACCCCCCAGGGGGGATGGCCACGCCACAATCCCTTCTCCTCCATTCTCCTCCATTCTCCTCCCGGGATCTTGGGCACGCATGCACACGCGCCCGGCGTGAGTTTTAAGCCACCGGGTCTGGGACGCGAACTGTGGTCGACTACATGGGAGTCCAGCAACATAGCCATTACACTAACTGCTGGTCCCAACATGGGTCTCTTAATGCCACCTTCAGCTGAGATGATTTATGAGGTTACCCTGAGCATTCATAGTCAGAAGAGTTGAGAAAGAAACAGGCTACCACCGCCAATGACCTTGGCTGAATGCTGTGTAGTAACAAAGAACAGGAGTGTCATAGATCTTTGAGGCCATGTGTCTGTAACATGAAAATGCAAGCAATCATCACATCTAGGTCCTTCATTAGGATTTGAGAATTATTTCTATTTCAGGTAGCTCTTGCTGTACAGAAAACCACCCCAGGACCAGCAGTTAGTATAATGGCTATGTCTCTGAACTCCCATGTAGTTGACCGCAGTTCACGTCCCGGACCCAGTAGCTTAAAACTCACGCCGGGTGCGTGTGCGTGCATGCCCAAGATCCCAAGAGGAGAACTGAGAAGGGATTGCAATGTGGCCATCCTCCCTGGGAGATGATTTCTTGCTTTCTGTCTCTCTGTCTCTCTCTATCTTTCTGGCAAGTGCACGGTGTCCTATAGGAATACCTCTCCGAAATAAAAAGAAAGAAAAAAGAAAAGAAAACCAACACTTAGTAGCTTTAGATTGCGTTTATTGGTATCTCACTATTCTGCAAACTAGTGGTTTGGTCTGGGCTCAGCTGGGCAGCTCTGTTCCTGGCAAGGCTTATTTTTATGCATCTGAAGCCATCTGCCAAATTAGTTGGGAGCTCCTTGCTGAGATGGGTTTTTTAGGGCATGTGCACTCCCCAGAGACAGAGACAGAGAGGGGGAAAGTGAGAAATCACCCCGCAGTGGAGGATAACTGTGCCACGGTCCCTTCTCTTCCATTCTTCTCTCAGAATTTTGGGCATGCATGCACATGTATCCAGTGTGATTTTCAAGTAACCAGGTCCAGGGCTCAAACTACAGTCAGTCATGTGCGAGTCCAGCACATTTACCACCACACCACCTGCTGGGCCCCACTGTGGAATGTGGAATCTTTTAAAGTCACTTGCACTAGTGGTAAAGATGC